AAAAAAAATACGATTTTTGTAAAAAAATTCTTTTTTATATTTTTAACTTTATAATGCTATAACTTCTCGAAATATTTATGGATCAATATAATTCTATTTTTTGTAGATGCATGATGTCTTTACCTATCATTTGGTATATTTTTTTTATAAATCTGATTTTTTACCTGCCTACAGGGAAGGATTCAAAATGACAACTTTTTCACAAAAAATTGACTTTTTCAACTTAAATTTTGAAAGTGTTCCGGAAAGTCTGACACTTTTATATATATCTTAAATTAAAGCTAATGTAATATACTTTATCATGGAAAAAAAAAATTTCGGACTTTATTTTGTCTTCACGGTGAAAATGGCTACCAAATGCTATTATTGTGTGAAAATTCTCAATTTTATTTTTTACATTTTTAACTTTATAATGCTATAACTTATTGAAAAGTGTATTGATCAATATAATTTTTTTATGGGAAATACTATTTTTTAATAATCCCTTTTTCATTCGACATACTTTATCTTAATCAGGATATTAATAAGGAACTAGCAGTTTATGAAGCTTTTGGAATAATCCACCAATTTTTTAAAATTAAACACTATCTAAAGATTTGCATCGAAGCGTTTTTTTTTTATAGTGATTTTAATCACTGTCAGATATCATTATACTTGATCCAACTATGCCACGTCACCACTGTGCCGCGACCCCCCTGTGCTGGGTTTTTTTTATTCAATTTATGACAATACACTTATTTTATAAATACTCTTTAGCTGACAGGAGTGCCGTTTGAAAGTAGAGCCAGGAGCCAAAGCAATCTAGTCGTACGTCCTATCAGTGGATTCTCTAAAATTGATAAATTTAGTAATATGGTCATACCAATGTTTTGGGCCGAATATGTAAGTTTACATTATACTGAAAAATATTATTATTTTGAAAAAATTGTAATCGAAAATGTAAGGTTACGAATTAGAGAGCCATACGATTGAAATCAATATTTTTTACTATACATAATATGATAAAATTAAATTTATTCTTAATGACATAACTCAATTTAATTCAACCTAAAATTTGTTTTCATTTTCCAGAATCAAGTGGGTTTACCTTGGTACATTACTAGTCTCATGTATTTCACAGTAATTATATTACCATATACGCAAACCGTTGGAAGCATCTCTATGATGATTGTCGGAATTGCGATGATTGGCAAAATGATACTTGACTTGGCGTTTGGTTTCAAAAAACCGTTGTACTCTTATAGTTCTTTAGATCTCTTGCCGTCGATTTAATGTAATTTTAAAGTGAACAACATTATTTTATAAACAATTTTTAATATTGAATAAATTATTTATTACTTGTTACTTTAAGTCTTTCGGTACTATCTAAGGACCTACCATTTTTTAATTATCTAGTGTATTTCACACTCATTTTTCTATATTATTAAGCATATATTTATTACTTGGTAATGTGATATCATATGTATTATATTTATTTAATATTTCGTTTAAAGAATACTATTATAATATTCATTAGTCATTTATTGTTTTACAAAGCTTGTACAAAGTATAGCATTTTTTTTTATAGTAAATATCGATGTGCAATTTTTCAAAATATACTACAAATTGTATACAAATATTTTTGTACAAAAATAATTTTAAAAAATAATAAAAATTATGAATTATATATAATAATCATTCTTTAATTTTAATATTATTATGCATAGTTTTAATAATAGTTAAAAGAAAATAATTATTAAAATTACATTTTCTACTCTAATCCTATGCACACATTGATAAGAGCAATGAATTGATTTTTTTTTAATTGTAAAAATAATCGATTCGTACAATTAAAACACATTTGATAGTAATTAACTTCTCTATAATAAGACGCTTTAATGCAATGATTAACAAATAAATGTTTTCAAAAAATTGGAGAAGAGAAAATTTATCCTCCAACTTCACTTAATGAGTATGAAATCGGTACTAATTTTTATAATACCTTTCTTAAAAAATGTAAAACAATATAAATAATTTTTCTAAGCTTTGCGAATTAAAAATCAGTTTAAAAAGCCTAGTTTTCACTGTTGTTTTTTCTATTATGTCTATTTTGCTAAAAAAAATGAAAATAGCTTTTTTAATGTTTTAAATTTTGAAAACTTTGTACTTTTTTAACCAAAACAGTCATAATTTTAAATTAAAAAAAAAAAAACATATTCTAGAATACACGCATTAAATAATTAATCGAAGTTTCAAGATTGTGTTGTTAATATCAAAGGATATATTGTTATTCACATCAACATTTCCCTCTTTTTTTTACACTTATTTGAAATAACAACAAGTTTGTTGGTACAACCGGTGATCACATCAGATAACAGTAAGTAAACATTACACAATATTGTATCAGGTATCGCTATACTGACTCCAATATGTTTGAGCTCCAGGTACTTAAATTGTACGATGCGAACGTCTCGTTTTTTATATTACTGTAGTGGATTCTTATGGTTAGAATCAAAGCGACAGCAAAACAACGTCTGTTTATTATAACATAATCGTACATTGTCTACTATATTACAACATATATTTAAATAACGTTTGGTTTTATTTAAATATCAATAAGTACTCCGATTTTAAAAAGTTAAATAATGCATTGTATTGATAGCAGTATAGTAATTATTATCATAATTTAAAATACAAAATCACATAAATATTCAATTCAATTAAAACAAATAAAGTAAAATTTAAATCGCATTAAGTATTTTATTATTTAATTACAAAATGAATTATCCGGATATTGACAACAATTTTTAATTTTTCCTAAGTTAGAATAATAAGAATATAATAATGTAAATATACACAATTGCTTTAGATAGTCTTACCGTAACTCCACGTACCAGTTTATAATTTACGCTAAACGTAATCAACTGTCTGGGTACTGATAATATACCTGAAACCGTACGTTATCAACCGCTTAACCTCAGTCAATAAATTAAGTATGGTCACTACTCAAAACATGTTAGTTTACCTAACATTGTCGTTAAAGCACATGTGATAGCCATTTTGGATTTAGAACGCTTATAGCAATTTCAGTGGTTAGTCGTGTATCATTTTACTCTATTACGAAGTCATCGCTGTAGTTATTATTAATTTTAAAAAACGAATCTACAAATGTGGTTTGAAAGGTTCTATTTGAATCCGTTTAATATCCCAAGTCATAAAATTTATAACTCATTATTACTTGAGTTATTAACTCGTTTATGCCTAGCCTTGCGCGTTTGTCTATCCATCAACACTGATGACATGTTATATCAGTGTTTCATAAGTGAAAAATATTATAGTCTGGCTAATTATTCTATGTATAGTGAAAATAGGTATCTCGAGATTTAAATATCAAACTCGGATTACTATCGTTATTTACTAGAAAAATTACATTGAAAACCCTGTAACATAATATTATATAAATATTTAATTTTATTATTTACTATATTTAATTCCTTCAAAATATTTTTAAACTCTTTAAAATGTAATAAAAACGTAAATTAACAATAGTATTAGAAAAATTTAAATATAATTTCTAAAACGTTAAATATATTATTCTTATTGTTGAAAAGAAATTATTTTATAAAAGAACCGAAATTTCATCCAATACTTGCTTTTAAGTGTTTAACTAGGTAACTTATAAAATACAACATCACACCTTCTTGTATTATAGAATAAAGAAACCAAAACATAAAACTGAAAAGGAATATACTACGTATTTTCAGAATGAGTTTGAACGAAATAAATGAAAAAAATTGGTTGAATACAACTTTATTGGATCAAGGCTATAAAATATTCGGTACTACATCGACTGTTGAAATAATACAGTCTTCTATTTTCATGGCTTATTGTTGGAACCTTTCAAATGCTTACACGGATTATATTATGGATCCTTTAGAAAGTGACACAAGATCAAGGAAATTTTGGTGGCTAAAGGTAAAGTTATGTGATGATTACTTCAATGTTCAATACTAATACTACACATTAAATGTAAATCAATATTTTTATGATAAACAAAATTATAATTATGTTTACTTATTATAAAATACATGTCTGCTAATAATAAATTAAAACATTTTAATTTATAAATTACGGTAGAAATTAATTAGTAAATTTTTATTATCTTATAATTATAATTTATAAGATTATAAAAAAAATAATACAGTAATATATATATATATATATATTTTGTTATAGAAAACTCTTTCAACTATTTTATTTATGACTGGTGGTGAATTTTGGAAGAACGGCTTTTTATTGAACCTTAACCTTTACACTTTGCCATTACTTTCATTGGTGAGATACTCTCTTAGGTACATAAATTTTATAGAAATATTTTAAAAACAAATAAAGAAATTTTCACAAACAATTTTCGAGGTTATATAAAATGCTTTTCAACAAAAATTTAAATCTACTAACTTTTGGAGTTATAAAAAATATTTTAAAATAAACTAACAAATATATACGTGTTAGTTAATATAATAAATATAATATTCTTATACAATAACTTTCAAAAATTGTTTTTGAAAATACTTATAAAGATTTTGAGAAATTTTCAATTTGATGATATATACATCATCTATCTAAAAATTGGTACAGATAAAAATTCAAAGCTCATAAATTTTTATGAGCTTTTTAGGAAGAGGAGATAGAGTGCTGTATAAAGTACAATAAAATTTGGTAGCCAAGAAATAAATTTATTAATAAATTAGTAAAAATCGTTTTTTTTAATTATTATTATTATTATAAGATTCGTAGGATAATAAGAAAGCGACACCGTCAATTTTTTAAATTTATAAATGATACAAAATACGTGTAGAACAGTTTGGCTCAATTAGTTGTAATATAATTTTTTATACTACATATTTATATATAATTTTTTTTTTTTTCAAAAAGATTAAAAGTAATCTATTAATATTTTGCTTAATTTATACACCCAATATCTTAAATGTCATAATTTATTTGCTAGCTTGAGAATCCATATTAATAATTTAAATTGTGAACTATTTTTTTAGGTATTTTATTCCAAAATTACTTCCCCTCAAAAAAGTTCTGCATGCACATCAGATAGGACACTATATAAATAGGGCAACGGCATCAGTTATTGGCAGTTTCCCAGTCTTTGGAAATTTTATATATGTCATAGAATTCTTCTTAAGGTTTTGAAAAGTAGGCTTTTGTTTTCTTATTAAGTCTCATAGTTAATTAAAAAATCAAATATTATTTAAAACTTTAATAAGTTATTTATTAAGTATTAAACTTCATAGCCAAAAACAAGTTAGTGTGCCCAGTGGCGTACACAGAAATTCAATTTGGGGTTTTTTTTTTTAAATTTAAAGAAAATTAGATGTGACACTGCCCATATTGTTCGCTCACAAAAATTCCTGTTTTCGATTACTTTATTGTGGAAATATTTTTAGTATGATATGATCGTTTTTATTGTTATTACTTATTGTTTATCGTCCAAAATTGTCGCTTAGCTTATAAATTTTGGGGGAGTTTAAACCCCCAAACCTCCCCCTCGCCCTTGCGTACGCCAATGACTGGTGCCAGTATTCTAAAAGTAACTCAATAATATTTCATAGCATCATTACTTAAAAATTGACAGCGATTCGTTTTTTAGTACATTTGGTACATAAAGTATACATGATTGCCGAAAAACATACATAACATTGACTGCAATTAATTTAATCATTAATGAGCTAATAATACTACGAAAACTTAAATCAAAGTAATATTTATCACTAATTGTGATAAAAATTTGTATGAACAGAAAATAATATTTAATAACTAAATGAATGAATTAATGATATTACACATAAACCAACCATCTTACATTTATAATTTTACATCATGACGTATTTTACATAGTAATATCTATATAGTCTTAAGTTGATTTTTGAAACATAATTTTAGTGATATCTAATCAAATATTGACTTACGATTAAGCTAAAATTTGATTTTGCAAAATACATAATAGAACATTATGATGGTTGCTTTTTGCATACGTCATTTAATCATTGATCTAAACGAGTTATAACTTGACAATAAACAAATGTGATGACTGGTTTTAACCAATATGAACAGCTTAAATATGAAAAGAGTCTAAATTACTCAATTCTTCTATGAATTTAGCTAAACAATTATTCTAATAGAAATATTCCAATGGCTAGTAATATTATTTTACTATTGGCCTATAATGATAAATTGCATAAATCAAAATTTATCTAATAATAGATATAAAATTAGCAAATTATTTCAGAATTTTTTTATCTCTTATGAAAAATTCTTTTAACTAGAGTTATTGATATAGAGTGTAAAGGTGTTATGATGAAAAATTAATTGTATATGAAGGTGTTTTTTTACACGGAAATATTTAATTGCATTAGCTATCATTAAATTATTTTTTTTTATTCTCCTGAAAAATTGATTGAATTAATATTCATCTTACAGGTAATCTTGATGAAATTTTCAGCAAGATAACATATAAAAGATATGCCAGAATTTTTAGATATTAGAATATTAATTACTGAACTAAACTGATTGGCACTTACTTATTAAAATTTTAAATCATCAAATGATTCTCTGTAATTTCATTAACTCTTTCAGACCTTAAATAAACTACAATGGGATACATAAATATTTTTTTTAATTATACTGTAAATTACAGATTTATTTGTAGAACAAGTTACAATGTGTAACTTAAAATCATCTTATATGATAACGAATATTTTTTTGTAGATGAAAAATTGAACTAGATAATCGGGAAAACCAAAAAAAAACTGAAATTTCGTGATTAAAGTATTTTTTGACAAATAAGTTTTGGGGGAATATTTTTGTTCAATTTTATAGAAATTATGTCTAAAAGAGTTAAAAACATAAAATTCATAATAATTTATAAAACAACGAAATTTAATGTTTCACAATTAAAATAAAACAATTTATTGATAGATTAACAACAATTTAAATACAACTTTCAAAATAGATGAAGCATTACTTGAAAATTTGGAGACTCCATGTAAAATAATAATAACAAGTTTTGTTTTATTAATTATGCATTTATGGTATAATTTTTCTTTGGATAAATTTCATGAAGAATCGATGAGATTACGCGACGAGCAAATCATGAGAGTTGACAATTGGTAAGTATTATAAAATTAAAACAGGAGAAACCCATTTTGCAATAAAATATTTATTTCGAATAAAAATTTTCACTTTCATTACAATACTGTAAACTAAGTGATCCGTTTGTTATACAACTACTCAATTTTTCTTAAATTAAAAATTATTGTGAAAAAATAGTTGTCGTTCAGATTAACTTGGTTACTTTCTTAAAAAAAATTTACTCAACCAATTATTTTTTCAATTAGCTCATTTTATATTATCAACTGCATAATAGCCGAAGTATTGGAGAAAACAGCTAAAAATATGTTCTATTTAATAAATATTTAATTTATGAAGATTTTATACTTTCAACATAAAATATTTTGTTGAAGTACAACAAATATAAAAAGTTCATACGTCTTTCATTTATAAACAAGAATTTTATAAATGGTCAGCTTATTAATTATTATTTTAGGAACCGATTCGTAAATAGAGAACCTTACAATGAATTAGGTAATACGGGATATCTTTTATTAAGAAATACAAGGAATATACACCACAATATGTCAATTAACTATGACAGTTCAACTCGACTCAAACAAATTCAAAGTTGTCCAATATTATGTAAAAAAAAACCCTTAACAATAAAATTAAGAAAAAGAAGTAAATCTATTTAAAATTTTTCTAGTAAAATATTATTATAATAATAAGTAATAATAATACGTAATTGATACCTATAAAAATTAAGTTATAATTATAAAACAATAGTTTTGTTTATTTTTATTAATATTTTTAGTTGTTCATTATTACATATTATTTATAATACAATATTATTGACATCAATAAGTACATAAAATTTTGAGTTTTTAAAAAAATAGCACATTATTAATATATTTATAAATATTATACATACCATTTAAATGTGCTCATGTATCAAGTACAATAAGAGTAATTTTTTAGTTATTAATATTCCCAATAAGAATAAAATATAAAATTTTTTTTCAAATTCAACTTTTTTTAATTGTATATTTTTTAAGTGAACATTTAAATATCAACTTATACAATATTTTGTTTAAGTACTATTTTTCATACATTCTAAGGTATATGATTTTTCAAACATAAATAAATATTGAAGCTTAAGTTATTTTAATGAGCCAATAGTAAATAAAACATTTATATAATAATTTATGAACAATTAATCACTTAAAAACGATTTAGTTATTATAAAATTAAAATAAATTATTAATCAATAGAACCAGTCTTATGAATTATAAATAACAGTCGATAACCACATAACATAATAAAACGTGGTAAAGTAACAGTACCCATAAACATATATACAGCCAAATATTGAACCATAATATTTTAACTTATTTTGTTAACCTTCAAAACATAACTAATTTTTATGAATTGAACAATTAATTTAACTTATAGTAACATAGTACTATTATGTATAATGACATTTTTTACATTTACTTTGTAATAAATTAGTACACTTGACTGATGGGCAATTGAAATGATGTATACAAATAATTCAGATGTCCATTAAAAATAATGTAATTAATAACAAATAACGGTAGATAAAAAAAAAATGATAAAAATTTTTTACAAGCTATGGTTTATAAACAACATTAGATAATATTAGAAACAATTAAATTTCTTAAGTGTTTAAATTTTTATTCATTAAATGTCATCATCCTACTCATATAATTCTAAATACTTAGTTTTCTTTTAATTTTATAATAAATTTCAATTATATTATATTATGATAAATGTGAATTATTATTTTGAGATACAGGAGAATCTGATATTATAAAATCATTATGGTGATTTTTTGTTTCATCTGAACTACTTGTTTCCATTACTTCGCCATAAAATTGATTATCTTTTGAGTATTTGGATAGATTTTTATGAGAAAAATCTAATGAAGAGTTGGAAGGTGTTACATGTTTGGAATTATCTGATTTTATTCTGAAAGAAAAAAAAGCTTTAATATACTTACAAATAAAAAAAATACAGTAGAGATTCAGCATAATTTAATATGATATTTATGCCTNAAAAAAAATACAGTAGAGATTCAGCATAATTTAATATGATATTTATGCCTCTTTCAGTACTATGATTAATGATTGTACTGTCAAAAAAGTATGTCTTCAACAAAGCTAATGTATGAGCATATCAATAAAATTTTCGCAATTCCATCCAGTTTTCAAAAAGTTAATTAAATATAAAGTAAAAACTAAGAATATCAATATTGACTGCTTATAACAATTGTAATTTTTTGAAACATATCCGTTTGAAAGGAATTTTTCAAAATTATGTAGCTGATAGCTTCAACTAGAAACTTTTTGTGATATTTTGACATATCATTGAGCAAAATCGATATTACAATTTAGGCACCTCAATATTTATATGTTTTATTTTATTTTTTAAAAATATAATCAGCAATTGACAACCTGCTTAATAGATGATAAAATTAATAAAATAATAATTTTGAGTATCCAGACTAAAGGCAAACAACCAATTACTTTAGTTACTAAATATATTAAGTATATAATTAAAATTTAGATTATAAAAAGATATTTACTTACTTACATCAAAAATTATTTATTTTACCTATGAAATTTTTATTTTATTAAATTAATTAACAAAAATTATTTAATTTTCAATGGATTAGTTCAAAGGAATATCATTGAATTTCTTTAATTATTTATTTGCTTCAGTTTTAATATAAAACAGTATTATTTAAATTTTGATTACTAAAGTATGCTAATAATATTAAGGTACTCACAAATTAGATTGAGGCTGTAGCATCACTAAGAAATTGTACAATGTTGTTCGCAAATCATTAGTGCTATAACCATTATGCCATCTCAGTTGAGCAATATTTTTATTAAGAAGATACACTGCATAATTGAATTCTAACCGAGATTTACTTCGACCAAATAAAGGAAACCTTATAAATAATTACATTTAAAATTTAAGTATATACATATGAGCATTAATATGATAAGATATTACTAACCATCTTTCTCTATCTTGAATATCTAATGAAATATGATCAATGATTTTACTACGTGATCCCTCATGGTTAATAGGGTATCGTAATGGAATATCTAGAAAATAAGCAATCATATGTGTTAAGTGTGCAACATAACCCAATGAAACACTTAGTTGAATATCATTGCAACCATCAAAATTTTCTGAGTTAGGAAGGTGAATGCTACATACTGAAAGTTTACCATTTAACTACAAAAAAAAAAAATTACAATACATTTAATTTTGATTTAACTGAAATAGTTAGTCAAAAAAAATAATTTTTCTTAGAAATTATTTTTAAAAAATTCTATAGAATCAAATAAGATATTATTTTTAAGTAAAAATTAACTTTTTGCCAAGGATTAATTAAGGTACATTCAAAGATAAGAATTAATTTACCTATCTAAATTACTAAAATTTATCTTATCAACTGCCTAAAAGACTGTGAAGTTAAGGAATAGATATGACCGCTAGGTTAATTAGTGGGAAAGTTCTCAATCAGACAGTAAGAGACCAGTATTCAATTCTCAGTCCACTTAATTTTTTTCCCCAAATTTCCGAATTTGTAACATNGAATAGATATGACCGCTAGGTTAATTAGTGGGAAAGTTCTCAATCAGACAGTAAGAGACCAGTATTCAATTCTCAGTCCACTTTATTTTTTTCTCCAAATTTCCGAATTTGTAACNAATTCTCAGTCCACTTAATTTTTTTCCCCAAATTTCCGAATTTGTAACATATTTATGATTTTTTCCTATCCATAATCTGTTCTAACAACATGTGAATAGGGTGTGAATAAAATGATACAAATCATAAACATTAGTTGAATATTTTAGAATTAGAAATTCAAATCAAGATTATTCCTTGTTCATTACACATTTTAAATAGCTATAAGAAAATACAATTCAAAATAAATAGTCAAAAGGGACTTGTACATTCTTACCTGCACAACATCTACATGTACATTATACTGAGTGATCAGTTTATGATAAACCACCAGATTATTCTTAAAATAAATACAATATTGAAAAAAAAATGTGAGTTGTTTTAGTTACATATATATTTTTTGATTTATCAGCTAATAATTATTTTTTAGAACCATTCTTTATAACTTATAGAGCGTCAACTTTATTTTTTTGAACATACTAGCTTATTTATTAAATTGCGGGTAAACTTTTATGTTGGAATCTGCCCATAAAACTGGGCCTCCATATCTCCATTTCAGATTTTTAGTTGGAGGTCATAAAAATCTTATTCAGTAAGTTCTTGAATCCTTTAATTGGCAGACAATACAGATAGGCGTATTTTTTTCGACAACCGTGATTAGTCAAAGGTTGTTTTTTTTGATACTGGTAAACAAGGGAATTTAGAAACCATGCTTAGAATGCTAAATTTGTGGTGTCGGATTCAGATGGGCTTGATTTCTGAGCTTGAGGACATAATGGTTTTCATTAACCCAATACATGTATGATCTATAATGGGCATTCTGGTCCCGGAACCAACCTGGACCCACTCTTCACTTCCAGTCATTACTTTAAATTGGTAATATCTTCTGAAATACTGGTCCAGGAGTTATAATCAGCCACTCATTTTCTTAATTAGATGACTTTTTTTTTATAAGGTAGTTAAATATGTTTGTTGCCATTTAAAAAAATTAAGTTAACACCCCTATAAATTATAGGGAATGATTCTAAAAAGTGATTAATAGTTAATAAATCAAGAAATATAAGTAAAAACAAAACTTTTTTCAAAATTGTATTTATTTTGAGAGTAATTTTTTGTTCATGGTAAACATATTCTCATATTTTATTACCATAAGAATGACTGTATGATAAAATCATTCTATAAAGTATTATATAAGGCATTCAGAGCTGATGAGTTAAAGAAAAATTTTGGAAAAAAAAGAAATAAGTGAAAAACTAAATAATAAAAATCTACTCTTTTGTGAGGATTAAAGATCAAATTGGACTTTTACAATTATAGTTCTTTTTTTTATTGATTTCCTATACCAATTCCATTGAAACTATAGCACTTTTAAATTTTTAAATTCAATAATCTCAGAATAAATTTTTCATCACTTTTTTTGATCCTTTCAGCCCTGGGTGCCTCATATAGCATTCTACAAACACCATTTACTCAAATAAATATTTAATATTGTCAGAATTAATTTAGTTTTACCTCAGTAATAGGATAAATATAATTAAGTTCAGAAATAAGTTCTTTTTTGCGGTATACAAGTTGACTATTTAGAGATAATAAAGTTTCAGAAGTATTGGATGAACCATTGCACTGCTTTAATCGGTTAGTATCTGTATTTAATATATCAAATGCTTCTTTCAACATATTTTCTGTAGATATATAATAATAATAAATGACATATTCAAGTTAATAATAAAATAGTCATATAATATTTACATACTTTTATCAAAATTATCATCATATAATTGTTTGCTAAATTGTGTTTTGTGTCGAAGAAGAGCAATTTTACGAGTTTTTTCCTGATTTAAGAGAAGCACTCTAAACTTTACTAGTTCAATTTCTTTTTTTTTAGAAAGTATATTTTGCCATGATGGTTTTTGTCCAACATCTTGGCCCATTATTCTTCGTAATGTTGCACTTTGAAGTCTACCTGTCTTACTATCATGCCAATTTATATCACCTTGGATTGCCTTATCTTTTAACAAAGATGCAGCATCTCTTTGTTTTTTAGTTTCACGTTGTATACTATGCATTCTTAAAATAAAATTTGTATAAATTAATTTTATCTATATAGAAATTAATACTAACACTGAAAGATACCTAGTTAATTGAGATAATGTGCCACTTATTCTAACATCTTTGACAGGAAGTGTAAGATCAGTTATTCGTGCATAAGTTGGTTGATCTTCTACTAAACATTGAGGAACTGTAAAATTCCCACTAGTCATACTGAATACTAAAGAGTTTGAATGGAAAATTTTTGGTTCTAAAGTCATTGGTGATAAATATAAAAGTCCACTTAATTCTATTCCCCAGACAAATAATACTTCAGTTTTATCATCTGTATGTTGCCATAATCTTAAAACAACAGCTGTAAAAAACATTATATATATATATGAATGATACATAATGATAATTTAATGGTACAATAAATTTAAAAACAACTGTTCATTTATTACTAAAAAATATTAAACTGAAAAACCTTGAATGACAACAACAAAAAATGTGAAATCTTATTAAAAACAAAATTAATTTTGAAAAAATTAATATGCATTTTTAAAAAAAATGTATTACACATAGGTACATTGTCATGCAACTCTAAAAAAATTATTGACAAAACCTAAAATGTTTTTCTACTTAACTGCAAACTTGTAAATATTTCAAGAAAAATGCTCAAAAAAGCCTAAATTTTTTTGATTTTAAGTGTGAAAATTTTACCACACTTTTAGAGGAATATTTTAACATTCCCTTAAAATTTTTTTTAATACACTAATTTTTAACAGATTTTAATGATTTTTTTTTTCAAGTTGTAAAAATATTTGGAGTTTATATGTAAAAGAAACAAGTCAAATTAGATTATTTTTGATTAGTTATTAATGTCTTTAAAAATGCTGGAACCAATTATAAAAATTTCATGTATGAATATGATACTATATCATATGTATATATGAATACTATATCATATATGACGCATATATTTTATTATATATCAATATGACTGTTTATTATCAAGCGATTATCAAATAAAGTTAAGAATAAACCATACATTTTAATGTATGAAATATTACATCTTTTTAATTCCTAAAAAAAAAAAATTATAAATTGTCTCCCTTTACTTAACCCATTCAAACATCTTAATTATTTAATATTCAAATTAGCTATCATACTTAACTTCATGAAAACCTTTCTTTCAATTCAACCAAATAACCAAATACAGGATATCTTTATATATAATAAGGTTGTACCAAAAAACTAAAATCCGCCTATAACTCTATCCTCTATAACCATTTCAAATCAAACAAATTATAAGAAACAAATAAAAACTATTTTATATAATAAGCAAACTGATTTATGTGATGACCAAAAACTACATTTTGTAATTTTTATGAGTTGTCTATTGCCATATCCTTCACACATATTATCAATAATATTAATATTATTACATATTATATTAATTTAGATAGTTCCTGAATAGTCTTTGCACTTAAAATATTGATTACTGTTTAAAAAATTAAGTATTTAATCTGTATCTTAGTTATGCTATAGCTTTTTTAACACTAGGTCACTGAACCATTCATAATGAAGTAGGTTGATAATTATATTTTTAATCAAATTGATTAGTACCAATTAAAACAATTTTATTAAAAAAAATATAAGTTGTTTTAGAAATACTCATGAAGATATTAAAAATATTTTTGAGTATTACAAAATATTATACAAGATGGATTCTTTACTATTATCTATAATAAAATTCACTCGTTTTTAATTTAAACAATACATAAAATTTGATTTTCTTTTAACTATTTAAAAACACTTGGTTACTTATAGCATGAGGACATCAATATGTAGAATATAATAGTAATTTCAAGGCTAATTTTTATGTAAATTAAACTTTTTTTAGTTTCTGTGAAAAGTAGATAGAACCATATTAATAGTATGTTTAATAGACATTGTTACAGTTCAAAATAAATTAAAGAAAAAAAAGATATGCATACAAATACTAAACAAATGGATTAATGCATACCTTTAGCAGATCCAATAGAGCTACAAATATCTAATTTAGTCCACTTAGGATTATGGCTGTATAGTTTTTCACTAGTATAAAAAGGAGCACACATGGTGGTTAAATGCAATGTATAGTAAAATGATACTTTGTTAGCTAGCCATTCTGAGTCAGCGATCAAATTAAAACCTGATATTTGAATTAAATTTCGAAGTCTTTGCTAAAAAAATAAATAAATAGGTATTCACATAATAATTAAAAGATGATTTTGTTATATAAAAATATATAATACTTGTTGAGTAACAAAAGGAACCCATTCTTGAATTTTAGATTTCAATGTCATTATTTCCATGATAATAAGTAATTTTATTCATACCTTAAATATAAAAAGCTATAATATACTTAAGTCATGACAATTAAACAGTAAAAAATAAAGTTATGAATCTTACTTAATATTTAATTTCTACTATTAAAAATGTATACATATTTCAGGATATTATTATATTTCAATGCTTTCTACTTATTTTAAACTTTATGAACGAACTAAACATTTAATAACTCAATATATGTTTTAATATTTATCAATAAATATTAAATAAGTATTTATTTTTCTTATTATTAATTCACATATGAATTAAATGACGTATTAAGACCACTATATAAAATTTAAACTTTATATATTTTTTAATTACTTAACTCTTAACACACAAATTTCTACTTAAAAAGTTATGAACAAATTTATGTTTAAATAAAAATAAATTTATCGTGTATGTTATTATCAATTTTATAGATGTACAGTAGCTACAATCTGAACCATCTTAAACGGACTCTAGCCTTAAACACAGAATTATAAAAGGAATCAATGTGTTTTATTTAATTAAATCTAGTCGTTTTAAGAAATAAATGAGTAGTAGTTGCAGTCATTGTTGTTCATGAAATAATTTCAAATTTTATTTAGTTTTCACTAAATTATTCAATTTTAAACATTTCAGTGAATATCATAAATCAGTGTTACCATTCTATCGTTTAAAATATATCCTATTTTAGACGATAAGAGTTATCTCATAATAAAGAATAATGATAATCTCGCACAGAACTTGGTGCTTCTATGAAACTTCAAGAAATATATTTATGAATTTATTGAATAGTTCTCTACTATTAGAAATTCAAACTTTACGATAGGATGGAGTCACATACAGTTAAAAATTATTTAAATCCTAAGTATGATGAAATGTTTTTAAATGTTGCTCGTGAAACTGACACAATAGAAGAATTTATGTATGCGCTTTTTGAATTTTTATTTAAAAGGTAGTGTTATATATCTCAATACAATAATTAACGTTGCAATATACCTAAATCTTTTATGTTTTTATTTTCAGGACAATGTTTGTTACAACATCTAATAACCAAAAGGAATCAATTTACTTATTAAATAACTATTTTAAAAATTGGTGGAATTTATCTATGAATGAAAAAAATAAGTAATGTATAAATTTAATCTATGTATAAAAAGCTTTATCTTTCTTTTTCAAAATTTTTATGTACAAAATCCAATAACCATTTTTTAACATTATACTGTTTATAATATTATTAGTTATTAAACAAAAAATGCTCTTTAAATTTAGTCACATATAAAAAAACGAACTTATAATTAACCTAATTATTTATATTTTTTTTATATTAGTATAAAGTTAGTAAAAGACGTACAAAGTGGAACAGACTTAACTGAAAACTCTTATTACTTTTGTTTCTATAATAATTTTGTTTTTTTTTTTTTACAATTTTTTCATTGTAGAAATACATTAAAAGTATATTTCTATTATTTATTTTTAACTATAAAAAAAAAGGTTAAAAGTAGTATAAATTAATTTTAATCATTAAATTGATCATATTTAAAAGTCATTTAAAATATTTTAATCCTATAAAGACTAATAGAATAGTTTTATTTTTATTGTTGAAATGTATTAAATATTTGTTTTCAAATTTCAAACTCATTTTGTATAAAAATTGATTTTCAATTATAATTCATTAACACTTTTTGATTTTATGTCACATTCTTTAAATTTTATATCTTTAAAACAAATTATGTTTTTTCACTATTAATTAATAATTTAAAAAAAGAATAATTAAAATAAGTTATGAATTTTCTTTTAGATAAATAATATGATTTAGAATAATATTAATAAATATATATACCAACTTAAAGGTTTTATGAAGATTTGCCATTAGTTGATTTAACAGATCAAATAGTTGATCATATTGAAGAAGTTACGCTTGAAGATGATGATAAACTTGTAGATAAACATGTTGTGTATAATAGCAATATTAATCAAAATTTATCACATAATTTATCTACGTATTCCAAAATTCATGAAGATTCTGGAGAAAAAACTACTTATTGTAAAAAAAAATTGTAAGTAATAATATACATAATAGTATTTAATATGTTTTTAAAACAATTTTTTTTTCATTTCTTCTTCAAATTCTTAGAAATCTGTGCTAATTTCATGACATGTTTATTAATCTTACATTTCTTTATTATTTTAAGTGATGTTAGTATTAATAATGATCAAGATAATATAAACATAAATACTGAACAAATGAAAAATAAAGATTCTAACATAACTATTATTGAAGAAAATTCTTTAAAAAATGATTTTCAAACACCTTATGAGAAAATAGTAAATAAAAACAGGTAAATTTGTTGTTGTATCAGGTAATTATTATAAGTTCTATGTTATAAAGGTCTTCTTTTTCTTCCTCGCCTTAATCCCAACTACTTGGGGTCGGCCACCCTTATCCTAAACTTCCACTAAATGACACTTATCTATGTTATAAAGGTCTAATAAAACAATTAGCTTCTATAAATTATTATTGTTTATTCTTATACTGATTCCTTATTATTTAAATAGTGAATCATAGTTTATCATAGTTAATCAGACAGGTTTACTAATAAAAAAAAAATAAAAAAATTTTTAATAGAATTTCTTACTAATGTCCTTATTACAATAATTTAAAAAAATTTACTATAAAGTTTGATTAAATTATGTTTTTTTCATTATTATTATTGGTATAAAAATGACTATAACTGTGGCTATTAATTTAAAAAATAATGTTTTCGGTTACTGTAATTATGCTTTAAATTACATCAATAAGATAACAAACATTAACTGTGTTGTTTAGCTAAAACTAACTGAGACGCCCCAAAAAATACTATAAAAAGTAAAAAAATAAAATATCTCCATTGTCTAATAAAACAAAACTGACTACTGAATAGTTCTATATTCACATTATTTAAAATATATATATTTTTTATAGTTGTCAAATGATTTTATTAGTTTATATTATTGTATTATCAATAAAAAATATATTTAAGAGCTATCTGCGAAATACTAGATTTATATTTATTTTACTTTACAGTTGTAAAAATTGTATTGACACAACAAATGGAGTTGATCTTGGACATTACTGGTGGTCACAAACTTTTAGTGATATCTGTCTAAATGTAATAAAAAAAAGTTTAATGTAATTATCTACTCGAATCATATCGATAGATGGATAAAAAATTAGAAGTCTTCTTTTTCATACCAAACATTTTATGTATATAAATTAGAAATTTTAATGACATTGTAAAATAATTATACAATGTTTCATAGAACAACTTATATGTAATTTTTTTTTTCTTGATAAAGTATTAAATAGACTTTTAGATTTATTTTATAAAATTGTTCTGCTATTTCAAAATAATGAATAATTCTATAATGTAATTATTTATTTATACAGCTAACTAATTAATTGAATATCAATATAAAAAATACAATTTATTTATAAAAATTGACTTACTAATTTTTTTCCAATAAACTAATATTTTTCACATATATAATTTTATAACCTATTAAGATAACATCTTTTAGATTGATCTCTCAGGCTTAGTCAAAAATTCTAAAGATATCTTCGTAAAGGTAACATCAATGAATTTAGAAATAAAAATATTTAAAAATAATGTATGGAAAACATTAATACACGACAATTTTTTTAAAACTATCAAAGACCACTTATGGACTTTGACACCAGAAAAACATTTACAGGTACTCATTATTTAACTTGGACTATTCAAATTTATATTAAATAAATAATTTTTTATTTGAATTTAATTATATATTGATTTTATTCTAAAAATTATTTAATGAATGAATTATTATTAAATTATACCATTTTTTCTTAGTTAAATTTAGAAAAATCAAAAGCTGAGTTTTGGTCAAAATGTCTGTGTAATGACTCTTATACAGTAAACAAAAAAAATGTTGAACATCATATTCCATTTCATGAACTGCCTGAAGGTGAAAAAAGTAAAATTAGTGAAATAATATGTAAACAAGAAGATATTGAATCTCAAAATAATGTAAGATGTACTTCTAAAATAAAATAATTAGTATTATAGACTATATTATAACTATGTACCTATATACATATTATACATGTAAATTGTATAATATGCACTGTCTTGGAATTAGTATTCATTTACCCTCAAAACTTGTTGCACTATTCATATAAACTGAAAAAAGTATCACAACTAAGATTATTACTAATATTAAGAAGTGTTTCAAGGAGTTATTTAAAGTTTTAAATCTTTTCATCTTAGAATATTATCTTTTATATATCATTTTTTTTTTTTAATGTTTTCTAATTCAAATGGTGAAAGAAACTTGGTATTGTTTTGAAATATAGAAAAAATACTTTTATCTCAATATGTAATTATTATTAAAATTAAAAATGTAGTTAAGATTCTTTTTAATGGAGATGGTGCGGTTTGTTTCTTTGATCCTACAATAACAGTTTATTATAAATTTCTTCACTATGAATTTTTGTCAATTAATTATTTATATGACCCTGTAATATCTTTGTTGGTTATTAATTTTAATGTATATAATTAATTTAAAAAGTTTCATTCCTAAATTTACAGAAAAATTAAATGATTTATGTTTTATAAATCTTGAATCTTTTTTAAACAGGAGAATCTTGAAAAATTGAAAAAAGCTTGGAATTTACCAGGATCACCATTTGCAGGAACACCCTTTGATCCAGATATTGTTCAATTTCCATAAATAATCGTGTTTTATGTATAAATTTAATGATTATATATTGTGTATTTGATTATTATATTAGATTAAGGATCTATTAAATTATTTTTGAAATTTTAACAAAATTAGAACATTAACTACTTTTTATATATTGTTAAAGTTTAATTGACATTCAACATTTATGTGTATAAGTAAAGATGTACGGACTACTCATCTTTTGAGTAAATGTTGGATACTCGATTTTCTTTTTTAGGACTTTGCAATTAACTTGTATTTGGTTTGTAAGAATTTTTTTACTCGTTATTCTGTTTGTAAGCACTTTTTCAATCAGTTGTTACTCATTATTTGGTTAGTACATGTATTTACTATTCGAAATATCTTCAATATATAAGGTATTATTTTACCAACAATTTTTTTTTTATAAATGTAAAGAAAATTTGTAATAATTGTGGTATTTATTTTTTCATCTTGTATGGTTTAAGTTTAATTTAATATGATAATGCATGTTTGTAAGTAATTTATATTTGAACATAAAATTATAGTATAGTTTTAATTATACACCCATGCTCTCAGATCGTATGATTCATTGCATACACCCCATACCGAATTTTATGTTAAAAATTGTTTTTTTACCAAAATGTATTGTGTTTAGTTAACAAGGTATTCGATCTAGTATTCAACTTCTGTACTTAATATTTTAAGATTCCTCTACCTTGAACTGATCTATGATTCACCATATGGTGTCCCACAATTAGTATAGTTCATCATTATATGCCTCATTCCTTAGATTAAGATTTTAAATTATCAAACTCTATGGATTCTACTCCATCTAACTCTATGGAGTTTTGCTATTTTCATACTCTTAAGAGTATGAAAATTGCAAACAATTATTCTTTCTAGTTTTCATTAAGAGAGAGACCTAGTACTTTTTTTCGGTGCATCAAAATATGTCTCAGACGATCACAGATTCTGGAAGATAAAGTGGTCGTAGAGACACTAAATGATGATCAATATTGCATATTTAATGTGACAAAATTATGTACTTTTGTTCATTTTTGAAAAAAGTTATAGCCTTTTAAAGTTTACGTTTTTTTAAACTGTTATAACTTAGTCTAAAATTGGTTAATCGAGTAAAGAGTTATCCTATAATAGGATAATTAAATAACATAACTCATCATTCAAATCTCATAGCACAACTGAAAAAGTTTAGAACGGTTCAATGGTAGTCGAATCCGGTAGTATCGACTGACGGTGTGACCGTACTGATGATATGGAACACAACGCCATCCCTGAAGTGTTGTATGCGGATTGTTTTTACTTAATTCCCTGTTTTTACAAGAAAATTCCAATTTTTTTAGCTCAGTTAACAATAATAGAAGTTGGTCTTATACTTAATAATTCATCAAGTGTCCCACCGTCACATTCCTAGCATTAAGATTTTAAATCATTCTTAATTGTTGTTCTTACAAGTTTTTTTTATTGGATACCTGATTTTCAAAAAATTATTCTTTCCTTTGATATATCTATACTATTCCCATAATTGGCCTAGAAAGGTTCACCACACCAGTACTCAGTACTGTGGTATGACTATGTCAATGGTGTAATTCATATATGTGATAAGAAACATTTTTTGATCAAATGTGCATAGAGTATTACAATTTATTATTAATATCTATCAATTTAATGTATGTTAGTAAGTAATGTTAAAAATTACTTTAGTGATTTTAGTATCGATACTTAAGTTGTATTGATAATTATATAACATCCGAAATATAAATCAACCGTAAACTGAGTTTAAACTTTGAACAACAGTTATGTAATAAGAATGAGTTATCATTTGTAGTTAAAATTATGGTAATTATAATAAAGATATCANCGTAAAATCTCTTCCAGGTGAAGCTATTTTAGTATCTCAGTCTATAATTCAATAGTACATTTATCTAGATAAGTATAATATATATATATATATAAGTGATAATATCGTCAGATCTGTTATCTACATCACCTAAATTTAAAAAACGTTGGATGCTGTATTTCCACGAGTATTGTTATATGTCATTCAAGAATCAATCAGGAAACTGATTAGCAAGTTCTTGTTTGGCAAAGTTATTCTTCTTGGGGTACAATGAAGAACATATCTATGGATTTCTTAGCAAACCATAATTATAAATTATGTGCAAATAAATTGATATCGTGGCTTTTTAGCTTCGATTTTACTATGATAGGTTTTTTTTCTTCGAGTGTCTGTTACCACTTACTCTCAGCTCTCACTGGACCGATTATGATAAACAATAGACCAAAAGGAGAAATCCCCCAAAAAATTACAATTTTGAAAATCAGTAATTTAAAATTGAGTTCTGACGTTTCGGACTCATTGCAGAGTCCATCTTCAGAGTGATGGTTGCTAGTCGGTGGCTGCAACTATACTCAAACGAAACATCAGAACTCAACTGTAAACATGGATATATCCTCAAGCACTTCAAGCAACAAGACAATCCATGAAAGTTTTAACACATTCATAGTAATTTAAAAATTTTTTTTTTCTTAAAACTGCCATAATTTTTTAAATATAAACATTTTTTTTATTGCTTTATCAGCCCATTAAGGGCCATAGTGGCTTTCCCCAAAGGAGGAGGTTTCTTAACCATTTATACTCCGGGACGGGTGGTTAGTCAGTCGTCCAAGAGAGGGATGGTGACTCTAATTACCGAACTGATCTCTCGTTCAGAAAATGATATGTTTATTTTTTAAAAATAAACATATCAACATATTTTTTTTTATAGATTTTTATCTACCATTTGGTATATTTTTTGTGAAAATGTGACCCTTAACCTACCCACAAGAGAGGTTTCAAAATGACATTTTTTTCATAAAAAAATAACTTTGTCAACTAAAGTTCTGAAAATATTCCAGAAATACTGACACTTTTATATAAATATTTAATTAAAATTTATGTTATATACTTTAATTTAAAAAAAATTGACCTCTGGACATGTCTTCATTGTAAAAATGGCTACAGTATTCAAAAATATGGTATTTTTGTGAAAAAACTTGATTTTATATTTTGTATTTTTTGACTTAATGATAACTTTTTAAAAAATATATGAATCAATAGAATTTTTTTATATAAATTTTTTTAGTGTACCCCATTTATCCAACATAATTTTTTTTTTAAATCGGATCATTTCCTTTTACACAAGGAGGGTTAAAACTTTAAACATGCGAATAAAAATTAGATCTTTTTCAACTTAATTTTTAAAAATGTTCCGGATATACTTACACTTTTATATAGATCTTAAATTTAAGCTTATGTAATATACTTTTATATGAAAAAAAAAAATTCGAGCTTAAGATTGTCTTCAAGATGAAAATAAGTACCGTATTTAAAAATATACTATTTTTGTGTTGAAATTCTCGATTCTATAACATTTTCATATTAAAATATCTTACAAAGGATTGCCACAGTATTGAATTCACCAATTTTTATAAAAGTTACATGAATCTAAATCAAATTGACTATAAATTTACACTTATTTTGAATATTTTGTTTTCTAAGTTAAAAAAAACGCCTTTGAGTTTTCAAATTATCTTAAATTGTCTTCTTTATTCAACTACTTGTTCAATGTACTGTTGTCGAGTCGATTACACTACAGTCTTTCACACTCAGGGTTCAAGGTTCGAACCCGTCCGTTAAATAGTTTTTTGCATTTTTTTCAAGGTGGAAAAATACTCAAAAGTTATTTGATTTTTATCTCATTTAGATTAAATAACTTCAATGAATATCAAGGACCCCATCATTGTAGTCTACCCTCATGAAAAGAAATTTATTTTTCATATTAAAATTACTTTACTATGTGTTTTTTCTTTGTGTCTGTCATTAATTTTTCTCAGCTTTCATTTGACCAATTTTCAATATTACCCTCTAAAATTGAAAAAAATTCTCCTTCATCAAATAAAAAATTACTTCACCAACATTCTCCATACATACAATTAAAATCATTCATTTATAATGTTTTTAAAGTGTATATTGTCGAATTAAATTTGATACACTTGACACGATCCCCAAATCATCTATGCTCACATCAGCCGTCCTCATATCGCATTTAATAACATTTTATTTGTTTTTTGGTCTTTTTTACCTCTTCTTCCTTCAACATTTATTTCTATAACCGTTTAATTCTATAACTTATAGCTTCGATTCCTCTCTTAGCTTCGAAACATGACCAAACCATCTAAGTTTATTTTCTCTTATCTATCTACGATTGACGCTATACCTATACTACCTCTTATATGTTCATTCCTTCATTGATATCTTCTCTAATCACTCCACTCATCCATCTAAGCATTCTCATCTCTGCTTCATTCATTCTCTGCTCTACTTTCTTGTTAACAGACTGTGAACCATACATTATAGCTAATCTCACTACAGTCTTATAGAACTTACCTTTCAGCCTCATTGGAATTTTTTTATCGCATAACACACCAGCCGCTTCTCTCCACTTCAACCACTAGCACTTAATTCTCTGTCTTACATTCTCGTCAATACGACCATTCTTTTGCACAATTGATCCTAAATACTTAAACATTTCCACTTCTTCTATTACGTCTTTGCTTATTATCACTGACCTCCTCATTTCTCTTCTGTCAAACTCATACTCTATATATTCTGTCTTAATCCTACTTATTCTTAAACCCTTTGCTTCAAGATCTGATCTCGACACCTCTAGCCTTTGATAAATTTCATCCCTATTTTCTCTTATTAACTATATCGTCAGCGAATAACATGCACTACGGCACCCCTCCTTGTATTTCTCTAGTAATATCACCAATCACTATAGAAAATAAATAAAGGCTTATAGCATAAACTTTTTATTAACTAACTGGAGAATAAATTAAATCTGTCTAATTAAAATGTTAAATGCTAAAACCAATATTCTGAGCAAATCAAGGAAAAAAATTAAATTGGATATTTCAGATAACTGTGAAATTTTATAAAGATTTTAAGATAATTTCACTTTATGATAAAAATGTTTTACAGATTTACACCTCTCAGTAGCGTAGTTATAGTTTTGTTTTGAGGAGATCTTTTTTCTTTTTCCTCATCTTAATCCCTATTACATACGGACGGACGGTGTAAACGGCCGGGGGGATATGGTGAAAGGTCGATGTTTCTCGTTCCTAGATATCATTTCGTTAAACCATGGTATATGTTACCATGGTATATGCATAGTATACCTAGGTAGAAGGAACATCATATAGTATATCTTGATATTATACA